TATATATATATATATATATATTATATTATTTTTTATATATTTTAGTATTTTACTGCAGCGAATCGACATACATCTAATGCATCGGATACAAATTCGAAACTAAGATGCATCCGGATATACAGGATATTTACCTTGAATCTTATATTACATACCAATAAATCATTGCATATAAGTATATTATGTTTTAGATTATTGCTATGAATTATTATAATAATCCTTAATGGTTACTAGGTATATAGAGTGGCTCACACTCTCATACCTATTATAGTAGTTTAATTTTGATTCATAATTTTTTTTTAATGGTTGCCATTAGACATTGGTTTCAACAAATAAAATATTTAATATTTTGATATAATATTAGAAATTTAGACCTATATTTAATATTTGGTAAAAACAAAAAATCTATGCAATTTTCATTTACCAAAGTATACTAAAATATAAATTAGGAGTCTTACTTATTACCATAAAGTTTAATTGCTCAATAAAATGATTTATCTGTAGGCCTAAGATAAATATGTTAGTTACAATAATGGTTGTTTATATTTGAGTAAAGTTTTTTGTGGTTTATCAGGATGTGGTTTATAACATTATATGAGATTTTTTTGTTCTATGAGTTATGAAAAATGGTCCCAGGCTGAGACTTCCAATGATATATTTTTAATAGATAATAATATATAGGTTTAACTGCCGACGATCTTGATTAACTTTAGAATACTCAATGACACCAAATGCACTTATTGGACCCATTAACGCAAATGGCCAATTTGACAATGTCMTTTTTGTAGGGATAATAACTAACGTGCGTGAATGTGGTTCTTCATTAATTACTTGCCGATCAATAATATCTATTCCAAGTACAACAGCTTTATTCATTGTATTTCGGTTTATTTACGTTTAATGGAATCTTCCAAAAAATAATATTTTGAATAATTATTAATCAATTATCGACTTGCGCTTATCAATAGTAATTTACTAAATACTGTTAATTTCTCATTCAGTAGTTTCCCTAGAACCATACTACTTTCCACGTCGACTATACAATAGCTTGCAAATTTTAGTAAATTTGAAAATTTTCGTGAAATTGGAATTTAAAAAATTAAAATAATATATATTATAACTATAACATGTATTTTTTATGTATTTTAAATGGTATATGAACAATTTATGAAAAACATTGTATGGCATTTTCAAGCTTTTTACAAAAATAATAATAATTGTATCATTTTATCATTTTATCGTAGGAATAAGGTACATAAATCGAAAAAACTTATTAAGTCAATAAATTAAAACACCTACCTACTCATAAAATCATAAATTGCACAAAAAGAGCCAAAATATTTTTTAGGTTATTTCATGTCTAGCAAAAGCTCATATGCATATTCTGTGAATATATCACTTTTAAACTATGTTGGAATTAATTCATCATATATTTTGTATAAAAAAAAWTCGATTTTTAAATGAAACTAAATTTTGGTCGAATAAAATAAAATATAATATGTCATATAATTATAATTTATCTAAAAAAAATGTTAAATTGTGAGAAAAATAATGCTGTATTGTATTGATGAATCTGGTGTTTTGTTAAAAAAAATCACTGCACATAACTTATTATATAGGCGTTTTTGTGTTTTATTTAGTTATTACGCATAGCAATGATTGAAAATAAAACCGGAAGCAGATAACTATAGTTAGTGCTCAGAGTGTTAATTTTTTTAAATGTGATGCACAGAATTATATATTATTAAATTTAAATATAGGGATCATAGAGTTGCACTTTTGGAATTTGGCCAAATGGTCTTAAATATAATGCTACCACTACGTGATGATAAACTACACCGGTGTTTTCCGATAGTTTGATATTTTATTTTTTGGAAAAGAATGAAATGCTGGTTTCAGATTACATGTATTAATTGTATTCGCTCTATATTAGGTATGTAGTATTACACGAGTATGAGTGTACAGGATGATACCAAACATGCTTCCCAAATATTTTCATCAATAATGCAGTACAAACTTCTGTTTTTTTTAATCAGAACCCCTCTCACACAAATATTTTTTCTGAAAATGTTGGCGTATCAAAATCAAAATTCATACT